TGTGTTGAAAGTTAGAGATGATAGAGCCGGTAATAGGAACTGAGGTTAACAGGCCTGTTAATGTGAGCTTTTATGATGACCTGGCTAGGAATTGGGTTGTGCTTGGATCTGTCACTGTCTGAGGCTGAAAATCCCTCTACTTTTCCTTGTTTTTGTCTCCTCTGCTACCTTTGGTTTCCTTACACACTTCCCTTAAAAAAGGCCCTTGAAGCTCTTTGAGCCTTAATTCATGGGTATCACCCTACAGCCCGGTGGCTGGGGTGGTAAGGTATTTGGGAAGGGAAGTGTTCCATAATCCATGACTAAATCCCAGTGCCTCCCCCAGGACTGCGCCCCTCACACCTGTTCTTTAGCTCCTCCCCCCACGTCAGACTCCAGGATGAGAAGGAAGCTGGAGTTGGGTGATTACCCTCCAGCCTGGCCAGGTGAGATAAGGCTCTGGTGAAGTCTTTATTGTGGAGAATGCTCTGGGTGTGTTTAAAATGGTTACTTTTCCCCTCCCTCCGCCTGAGGCACCAGGTGATTGCCCTTGGCTCTTCCCTATAAAAGCCTGGTGGGGTTACTGGAGGTAAAGCCCAGAAAAGTGTGAGGGTTCCTTAGGATTTTAGCCCCAGGAGTCTCTTGACAGGAGTCCTCACTAGTCCTCCAACAGTTTGTCAAAATTGCTAGTTCTGTGTCCTCACCAGTTGGTGGCTCCAGCGGCTTCTGCTCCAGGTAAGCCGACCTCAGCTGTGTGCCTTTGTACTTACCTCTCTAAAATGTGGGTGGCCCTTTGCCCCAAGACCTCAGTTCTCTGATGGCTCCAGGAAAAGTCATTGGTTTTCAGTGTGTTCAGCTTTCTTCTTTTTTTCTTTTTTTGGTTTTTGTTTTCCATTTTGTTTTCAAATTTTAGGTTTTGGTTTTGCTTTGTTTTGTTTTCAGCTTTTTTCTTGGCGTTGGGACGTGGATGATGACTTCCAAGCTCTTCAGATGTTGAGGCTGGACCTAGAAACCTTTCATACACTTTCTTTTAAAACCTAAATGTGGTAAAGTGCATTGTTCCTCAAAAGAAAGTAATTATATTGGTCCCTCCATCTCACTGAGTGTCGATATATTATTTTATTACAATTTTATGTTAAACATAAATTTAGATCTAAATTCTATGGAATCTAGGAATTTAGATCTGTAGTTCCTAACCAACTTTGAAAAACATTTGTAAGTCAAATTAAAAATCCTACAAGAGGGGTGCCTGGGTGGCTCAGTTGTTAAGCATCTGCCTTTGGCTCAGGTCATGATCCCAGGGTCCTGGGATCGAGCCCCACATTGGGCTCCGCGGGAAGCCTGCTTCTCCCTCTCCCATTCCCCCTCCTTGTGTTCCCTCTTTCGCTGTGTCTCTCTCTGTCAAATAAATAAATAAAATCTAAAAAAAAAACCTACAAGAATACTAAAACTTCAATCAACAATGTCGCCTTAAGATTGTGTGGTTGAACCAAACTTTTTTTTTAAGATTTTATTTTTATTTATTTGAGAGAATGAGAGCGAGCACACAAGCAGGGGCGGGGGCAGAGGGGCAGAGGGAGAAGCAGACCCAGCTGAGCAGGGAACCAGATGTGGGGCTCCATCCCAGGACCCTGAGATCATGACCCTAGCCGAAGGCAGACGCTTAATGGACTGAGACACCCAGGCATCCCAAACCAAAACATTTTTATTAGGTTTCATAAAAAGAAGGTACTGCTCCATTCTGATACTATACTTAGTCTCTTTTAACTTCAGTGAATACTTCAGTAGGAAACTTCTGTTTATATAAAATGTTACTGATAACATTAAGGCTTTTCTTTTTTTCTGTGTATAATCATCAAAGGTCTGCTAGAATGCAGTTTTTTTCGCTCTCATTTTTTTAAAGATTTTATTTACTTGAGAGAGTGAGTGAGATAGCGAGAGAACATGAGTGGGGAGTGGGGAGAGGGAGAAGCAGGCTCCCCACTGAGCAAGGAGCCCAATGCGGGGCTCAATCCCAGGACCCTGGGATCATGATCGGAGCAGAAGGCAGCCGCTTAAGTGACTGAGCCACCGAGGCCCCTAGAATGCAATTTTTCAATATCAGTTTTGATGAAGTAGATTTTGGTAGTTCTTAAATGCATTATATTCACATGGGGAGATGTGTCCATTGCAACATTATGAAAACCTATATTTAAATCACAGCTTTGGGTTCAGAATATAATTTGCAAATTTATCACATAAATATAAGGTATAGCTTACCTTATAACTAATGACCTGTTGCAATTTTAGATATATAAAAGTGTCTCTTAATGAGTGTAAAATATATATATTTTTTTAGTTCAGCATGCATACGTCTACCACAGTGAGCCTCATGAAACTGAAGTCAATTTTTCCAGCGCATTTTTCTATTTAATTGTAAAACTTTATTTGCACATTGGCATAATGTTATATAGCCTTCACACTAGACACATATGTTCATAAGCAACCTAAATGAAGCCATTGGAATCCCAGGGCAGTAACTGATGTAAAGCCACTATGTAGATGGTCTGGTATGTACCCATGTTTGTGGTTTGTTTTCCAAATCCCCTGAGAATACATACACTGATCTCAGATAAAAAAAAAAAAATGTGTCTTTCACCTAGTTTTGAAATCAGACTTAATTGTGTTTGAGTACCAGCTCTGATGACTCATAGTTCTATGATCTTGACCAGTTTAATTAATACCTCTAAGGCTCAATTTCTTTTTTTTTTTTAAGATTTTTATTTATTTGAGAGGATGAGAGAGAGAGAGCATGAGAGGAGGGAGGGTCAGAGGGAGAAGCAGACTCCCCCCACCCCCTCCCCCCACCCCAGGAGGGAGCCCGATGTGGGACTCGATCCCGGGACTCCAGGATCATGACCTGAGCTGAAGGCAGTCCCTTAACCAACTGAGCCACCCAGGCGTCCCTCTAAGGCTCAATTTCTTAATTGGGAAAATGACCCAACAAAGTTGCTATGAAATCAAATGGATGTCAAACTCCTTGACATTCCTTCTGTTCTTTCGATTAATCATCAGCTTGACTTAAACGTTTTGCACCTAGTTCTCTGGTAGGGCATCTTCCATATAGTAAGACCTACTAGCTAATATTATTATGTAGTATAATATTAATATATACATATATATAGCTGACTCTTGAACAACATGGGGGTTAGGGACACTGACTTTCCACCCCCTCCAACACACCTGAAGATAATCATCTAAGTTTTGACTCCTCCAACACTTAACTACTAATGGCTTACTATTGACTGGAAGCCTTAACAATATTGTAAACAGTGGATTAACACGTATTTTGTATGTTTTGTGTATTATATACCATATTCTTGCAATGAAGTATGCTAGAACAAAGAAAATATTATTAAAATCATAAGGAAGAAAAATACATTTATGGTACTATACTGTATTTATTGAAAAAATATCCATGCATGAGGAGACCCATTTTGTTCAAACCCATTTTGCTCAAGGGTCATCTGTGATGTGTGTGTGTGTATGTACACAAATACACAGAGATAGTGTGGCTGAGGATTGTGGAAGTAATCAAATAGAGAAGTGATTCGCATTGTGAAAGTAAAAATACATACATGCAATATTACAGAGTCATCCTAGAAATATAGTCCACTTGGACAGAAATCTCATTAGGAGAGGATTTTGGAAACTTAATGTCTTAGCTTGTTATCCCAGAGTCTGACTTTTCTAATCACACAGTGTTGACAGGGGCACATAAATTTAACAATATACGAAGGGGTTCTTAAACTGCTGATTTTTTAAGATGCCAAAAGGACCACATTCTATAATATGATGTATTCACAAATGATTATAAAGGAAATAGAGTGAGTTCTGATGTCATCTCCAGTTCCTCTTCACTAAGAATTTGGCGATAAATTTAAACTAATGTAGTTAAGGAGTAGTAGCCTAACAGCCTTCATGCTGAGTCAGTTTGCACCCATGTCTGTGATCCTAACTTCCTGTCTAGAGCTGCCTGGCTCAGCGGCTCTGCTGCTTGCTTAAATGTCTCTGGCAGTATTACTGTTAGCCTTTAAGAATGGCTGAATGATACTGGTAATTTCTGTCTCCCAGACACTGTGTGCATTGTTCCTGCACCCGCAGTCTTTCTACCAGCCCTAGTGTTCTGAGATAGTGTCCCGTGGTGTCCATGGGCATCATGGCAAGACTGTTTTGGCAGTTTCTTAATAGGAAGTATGATCCTTCCCTGTTTGGAAAACCAAGAAGTTTCTATGAAACATCAACAGTCTCCCCCAGAAGAATTAGATCTAAATTAGTTCATTAATGTATGTTTTTTTGTGTGTGTCTTAACTGGAATTTGAATGTGATTAAATGAGATGCAAAGTGTAAATTCTGACAGGGTGGTAGAAGGTGCAGGAACTTTTTTCCTCGAACCCCATGCCTGAGACCTCTTTCCTTCACTACACTCCTGGCGAGATCAACAAATTGTTAAGTGCTCAAAAGAGATCTATAAATAACGTTAACATCAGTATATATAGAGCTGAGAAGTGAGCATTATCGTATTATTACTTTTACTTAGTAGGTATCCATATCTTTCCCTCATGTGTGTTGTGTTTGAAGCTAGAAATGAGCGGCATTGAGTCTTCTCTCAACGTAGAATATGAAAGAGAAGGTAATTAGGATTAATAGAAGATAAAGAGATAATAATAATAGAAAATGAGGATGTTATAGAAGGCATCCAGATTTTACAAAAAGGGAAAAATAAATCCGACGCACATCACAGACCCTGTTACAATAACCCTTTGTTTCTTTTTCATTTTACTTCTCTTTTCTTTTGTAATGTCCTAAATGGGAAGAGGAACGAGTTATCCTACAAATGTAGATTTCGCAAACTTGTGCACTGATGAGAGTACTATTAAAATGCATTGTTAAGAAAAATTTTCAGCACACAAATGTGTCATTTCCTTTCTTCATGGACCAGATGCTGAAATACTATGTGATAAAGATTTTAGGTCTCAACTGTAAAGAGAGAGAAGTGGATAAATCAGTGCTGCTGTCTTTAGGACAAACGGTAAAAGAAGTTTATTTAAATGTTTTTCCAAAATTGCTTCTATTGATTATATGTGTTTGCTCTGTATCTCTGTGTGTTTGTGTGTTTGTGTGATAGGTGAGATGTATAAACATGTATGTATATATGTTTATACATATATATGTACATATATGTTTCTATATAAGCAATAATTTTTGGTAGAATTTCTTATCCTATCATTAATAATTTGGTCTGGTTGTTTCAATGATAAAAAAAATAGACATTTCTGCTAGGTTTTCTGTGAGTGAAAAAAATGTATGTGTGTGCCTAAATATATATGGAATATACTAAATACTTTGTAGGTTAAACTAGCAAGAAATTTTGGGCATTTAACTGCCCATATTTTTAAAAGAATTATTGACCTTATTCAAAATATGATTGAGGCTATTTTAATTAGTCTCATTTCCTTACTTGTCATATAATACCTATTATTACCTGTATTTGCTTATATAACAAATATTGCTTGGATATTTACTCTAAGCACTTGGCTGAACTAGACATAGGGAAGGGATCAGAAAAATAGAATATGGTCTATCTGCAGGAAGTTCATGATCTAAGGCAAATAGGCATAATATAATTTGAGCACCTTAACTAGTTGTAAGAGTGCTATAGATAACTACTCTGGGAATGTAAGAGAGGCCAGAATTACTTAGGGGGAAAGGATTTGAGAAGGTCTTCATGGAGATGTTTAAATTAGGTTCATCTTGAAGAATGGGTGAGATTTACACAGCATAAAATGGGGGTTAGCATTCTCATTGGCCATGTGAGAATAGTAATAGAAAAGTCACAGAACTGTGATTATAATGTCTTATGCAGTATTTAGGAGCTAATATTCTGCAGGTACAGTGCCTATATTTAGATCCAAGCCTCCCTACCTCCTAGTTGTATAACATTAACTAATTATTTAAACATTCTGGGTCTTAGTTTCCTAGCCTTGTAAAATGGAGAAAATACTGCTGTATGCCTCATGGAGAGTCTGTGAGGGTAAAAAGAAGAAAAGTCCATATTAAAAAAAAAATGGTACTTAAAAATAATTATTTACTGATGGTTACCTGTGTACCAGGCAATTTATAAAAATAATAAGTTTTCTTAATAATTCTTAGACTGATATTATAATCCTATTTTACATATATAAAGGAAGTGCAATCAAATAAATTGAAATATTTCCTAATGGTCACAGAGCTAGGAAATGGCACAACCAGTATTCAGACCTAGACTTCCAATTCAAGGATGAATTCACTACCAAGGATGAACATCATTGGCATCAGGCACAATATGGATGTTTCCATTCTCACCTTAATCCCTTTTATGGATATATTCCTCAAATATAGAGCTATCAGTTTTACGAATACATTAATTCTATTCTCGTTCATATATATTTTTGACTGTTCATACAAAGTCAGAGGTTTTGTTTTTAAATAATAAGAAAGGTTACAGAGTTCTTATTTACTCAAAATCTTAAAGATAAAATTAAGGGTTTGATAATAAATCTGAATGGGGAACAGCTTAGAAGAAAAGAATGTACATTAAATGTATTTTACATATAAAGACTTTATTCATATCCATATAAAGGAAGTTCCACTGGGGATGTACAAGCAATTGATATGAATAAACAAAAACCTAAGAAGAAAAATAAATATATAATAATAAAAAATAATTACATGAACTCTCTCTCCCACACTAATAGTAAATAAGACAAATAAAAGCCACCTTGAGATATCATTGAACTCCTATCAAAATCTAAATGATTCTAAAATAAATATTATTACTGAATAATGGTTAATTTGGCTTAAAACTGCCATATTCATATATGACTGGAATCTTTGTAAATTTGTATGATCTTTTTAAAGAGTAGTCAGGCAGTAAATACCAGGAAGTTTAAGATAATTTTTCTTTCACCTGGTAGTTCAACATATAGTGAATTATCCTAAAGAAATATTTAAAAGAAAAAAACTAAATTATGAAAATATTGGGAGGCAAGATGGCGAACGACTGGGGGACTCCATTTCAACCGGTCCCCTGAATTTAGCTAGATATCTACCAAGCCACTCTGAACACCCATGAAATCAGCCTGAGAGATGATTATACGTCTGGGTCTCTACAGGGGCAGAGGATCATCAGTCGAGAGATATGAAAGACTGAGTTGTGATTGCTTGGAGAGATGTTGGAGGACGAGGGGACCGCCAGAAGCTAGCCTTTGGGAAAGTAATACCCCAGTGCAAAAGCATCCTGCTCCTGGGGGCCAGCGATAGCTTGGAGAGCAGTGGCCGAGGGTCGGGAAGGGACTGATAACAGGGCTCAAACAGAACACAGGGGCTTAAGGGGCAAACTCGGGGACCAGGCGACCACAGATCATCATCAAGATAAAAAGCTTCTGCACAGCCAAAGAAACAGTCAACAAAACAGAAAGGCAACCCACGGAATGGGAGAAGATTTTGCAAATGATACTACAGACAAAGGGCTGATATCCAAGATCTATAAAGAATTTCTCAAACTCAACACCCCAAAAACAAATAATCAAAGTCAATAAATGGGCAGAAGACATGAACAGACACTTTTCCAAAGAAGACATACAGATGGCTAACAGACACATGAAAAAATGTTCATTGTCATTAGCCATCAGGGAAATTCAAATCAAAACCACATTGAGATAAGCACCTTACACCAGTTAGAATGGCAAAAATTGATAAGGCAAGAAACAACAAATGGAGAGGTTGTGGAGAAAGGGGAACCCTCTTACACTGTTGGTGGGAATGCAAGTTGGTACAGCCACTTTGGAAAACAGTGTGGAGGTGCCTCATAAAATTAAAAATAGAGCTACCCTATGACCCAGCAATTGCACTACTGGGTATTTATCCCAAAGACACAGATGTAGTGAAAAGAAGGGCCATATGCACCCCAATGTTCATAGCAGCAATGTCCACAATAGCCAAACTGGAAAGTGCTGAGATGCCCTTCAACAGATGAATGGATAAAGAAGATGTGGTCCATATATGCAATGGAATGTTATTCAGCCATCAGGAAGGATGAATACCCAACTTTCACATCAACATGGATGGGACTGGAGGAGATTATGCTAAGTGAAGTAAGTCAAGCAGAGAAAGTCAATTATCATATGGTTTCACTTACTTGTGGAACATAAGGAATAGCATGGAGGACATTAGGAGAAGGAAGGGAAAAATGAAGGAGGGGAAATCGGAGGGGGAGACGAATCATGAGAGACTATGGACTCTGAGAAACAAACTGAGGGTTTTAGAGGGGAGGGCGGTGGGAGGATGGGTTAGCACAGTGATGGGTATTAAGGAGGGCGCATATTGCATGGAGCACTGGGTGTTACATGCAAACAATGAATCATGGAACACTACATCAAAACTAATGATGTACTGTATGGTGACTAACATAAAATAAAAAAATAAAAAAATTTGATTAAAAAAGAAAATATTTATAACATCATCATCTATATTAGTAAAACACTGCCCTCCAAAAGAGAAGGGAAAAATTTCTTAAAAATTACATTATAGGAAAATGACTACATAAGTAGGGTAGATACATTTGATGGATTATTATTTGGCCCATAGGTTTAAATTTGAAGAAAAAAATCATTTGAAGTATAAAAATATTGGTATGATTTTAAGGGAAATATATAAGACCAGATGGTAATATACACCGTGGTATCAGCTATGTAACATGGATACATATGTACAAAAACTGAAATTTCATCTGAAAAATGAAGGTGTTTTTTCTTATGTAAAGGTGATGGGATGACAGAATTTTTTTTTTATTGAAGTATAGGTACAGTTGACATACAACATTATATTGGTTTCAGGTATACAATATGATGGTTCGGCATTTATGTACATTACAAAACGATCACCATGATAAGTCTAGTTACCATCTGTCACCATACAAAATTATTACAGTATTGACTGTATTCCCTATGCTGTACTTTACATCTCTATGATGTATTTTATACTGGAAGTTCATACCTCTTAATCCCCTTCACCTATTTTGCCCACCCCCCGTTTCCTTCCCCTCTGGCAACTATTGGCTTGTTCTCTGTATTTATGAGTCTGTTTCTCTTTTGCTAATTGCTAGTTTATTTGTTTTGTGAAATTATGGTATTTGTCTTATTTCACTGAGCATAATATCCTCTAGTTCTATCCCATGTTGCCACAAATGATAATATTTCATTATTTTTTATGGCTGAATAATATTCCATTATACATTTATATATATATATATAAAAGTACATCTTTATCCATTTATCTATTGATGGACACTTAGGTTGCTTACATATCTCTGCTATTGTAATTGCAGTGAACAAAGTGGTGCATATATCTTTTCAGATTAGTGTTTTCATTTTCTTCAGATAAAAACACCCAGAGGTGGAAATGCTGGATCATATGATATTTCTATTTTTAATTTTTTGAGGAACCTCCATACTGCTTTCCACGGTGCTTGAACAAATTTACACTCCCACCAACAGTGCACAGTGTTCCCTTTACTCCACATCCTTGCCAGCACTTGTTATTTCTCTTCTTGTCTTTTTATTACTAGTCGTCCTAACAAGTATAAGGTGATATCTCACTGTGGTTTTGATTTGCATTTTCCTAATAATTAGTGATGTTGAGATTGTTTTCATGTGTCCATTGCTCATCTGAATGTCTTCTTTTGGAAAATGTTTATTCAGTTCCCCTGCCCCCCCCCCTTTTTAATCCAATTGTTTTTGTTTTTGTTTGGTGGGTTTTTTTGTTTTGGGTTTTTGTTTTTTTTTTGGTGTTGAGTTGTATGAGTTCTTTATATACTTTGAATATTGATCCCTTATCAGATAATATGATTTGCAAACATCTTCTCCCATCTGACCCAACTTATCTTTCATATTGTTACAATATTTTTATAATAAGAACAGGAAAAACTGAAGGGTATGTTTCCAAACAGGTTAACATTGAAACACTTTCATTATGGTTTTTCTGTTGTAGCTT